TACCCCGTATAATGCATGCAGACCCTCCTGGACCCTGTAGACACCCCTACCAGAAGACTCTCCGACCTCTATAATCATTATCCCCCCCAACCCTATCCCTGGATCCTATTATTCCACCTTCATATATAATGCATAGAATCCCTCCCCTTAGCCTATAGACACTCCCACCGCATAAATTCAAGGGACCCTGTAGACATTTCTACCCTGTACAATCCCTGGATGCTAGGGACTCCCACACTTTATAATGCATGTAGACCCCTGGACCCTATAGACAACCCCACCACATAGACTCCATGGACCCTCTAAGCAAGTCTTAACCTATACAGTCCCTAGATCCAATAGACACCCACTTTGGATAATACATGTAGATTCCTGGATCCTATAGATGCCTCCACCATATAGATTTCCTGGACACATCACCCCATGTCATTTATGTAGAAACCCAGACAATATAGACTCCCTGAAATTTGTAGATACCCCAATTTATATAATCCATACAGACCCTATAGACCACCTCCCCCCCACTGGCCCCCCATCCTACAGTATCCCTGGACCATGTAGACGTTTACAATTCCTGCCAAAGACGTCTACCCCATATAGACTTCCTGGACCTTGTAGACATCCAATCATAGATTCCTCCCCTCCCCCAGCATCCCTGGACTCCCACCCTGTGTATTTCATGTAGACCATCAGACTTTATAGAACTCCTACCCTATATAATCTATGTAGCCCACAGACCCTATAGATGATCCCACCATATAGAATTTCTGGACCTTGTAGACACCCTTAACCCTATATATTTGGGCAGCTAAGTGGCCCAGTGGATAGGGCACTGGCCCTGGAGTCTGGAAGATCTGAGTTCAGATCTGGCCACAGACACTTACTAGTTGTGTGACCTCGGACAAGTCCCTTAACCTCTATCTGCCTTAGCTTCCTCCTCTGTAAAATGAAGATAATAGTAGCACTTTCTTTACATGGTTGTTATGAAGATTGAATGAGATAATAGTTGTAAAGCATTTGGCACGGTGCCGGGTACTATATAAATGTTAGCTATTATTATTACTATTACTACTACTACTAATATTACTACTACTACTACTACCACTACTACTACTAGTACTACTACTATTATATTACACACACACTATAGACCTTTCCCCATTCTATAGCATCCCTGGTCCCTACAGACACTGTCCCACACTGCAGAGAACCTCTCCATGTTCTCTAAAGCCCCACTAGGCTGTATAATCCATGTAGCCCTGCTCCAGTCCTATGGATACCCCCACCGTATAGATTTCTTTGACCTTGTAGATACCCCAACCTGTGTATTCCATATAGACCTCCTTCATCCCGTGGCACCCCTGGACCCTGTAGATCCCTGGATCATATAGATCTTCCTCCTCCTGTAAATCCTTCAGCCCTGTGGACTCTCCCTGATCCCTTTAGATTAGACTCCCCGGGCCTCACAGACTTCGTCTTCTGTTGGTTGTCTGAAGTCCGTAGTTTTGCGGGATCTTCATAGGCTCCCTTGTGTCCCCTGGATTCCCTGAACACTATAGATTTCCACCCTCTTGAACCCTGATGACCAGAGAAGTTTCAGGAGAATCTGCCCCTGGCTTTTCCACCCTTTGTGGTCCTCAGTCCCTCTAGACCCCAAGCCCCCAGGAACCCCCGCCAACCCAAGCAATCTTGACCCCTGTAGATCCCCCACTCTGGCACCTGCCTTTCCCTAGGGAGAGCCACACAATTTCTGAGTTCACAACAATATCACCAAAAGTCATTCTGTGGGGACCCCCTGCCCTCGCAACCACAGAAATCTTCAACCTAGTGACAGGCCTCCATTATAATCGTCATGGAGCTCCCTCTGCTGTTTTTGTCCTTAATGTTCTTTAAGTGAGTTCTGTAGGATAACAAGACAAAGTCTATGGAGAGTCAGTGCCCTTGAGGACCGTCCGGCCTTCTTGGGCAGGGTCTTGGAGGTGTGCTCTGGAGCGGGGAGGGCAGGGAGAGCAGGGAAGGCTTCCCCAGGAGGTGGCACCTGGAGGGCGATAAGGAGTCTGACAGGGGAAGGTGAGGGAGGCTTAAGTAAATGAGCAGATGTGGGTGATGGAATGTCAAGTTCTCTTAACAGCCAAGTGGACCGGTTTGTCTGGAATGTAGAGTGTGTGAAAGGGAGAGGAGGGGAGGGAGATGAGGCTCAGAGCCAGGCTGTGGATGGCAGCCCGCCAGGGTTTCTGAGAAGCAGCAAGAAGTTTAGGCTGTGGGTACTAGGGAGCCATTGAAGGGTGCTGAGCAGGTGCTGAGCCTCAGACGGGTTGCTTGGTTGGAACATTCTGAGGTCGGTGATGGGAAGGCTGGTGGCACCCTCTGCTGAAGTTTGGAGGAGGAACAAGACTCCCACTGGGGCCGTGTTCAGTTGTCAGTGGTCATGGGCCCTTCTGCTGGGGCAGCTGGTGATGTGTGATTGGCACTCAGGAGAAGGACTCAAGCTGGAGGTGTGGTTGGGAGAGGCATCAAGGGTGCTGGGGAGGTCACCCAGTCGGAGCGGGTAGAAAACAGAGAAAGGACGGAGCCTCAGGGGACACCCACGGTGGACAACTGGCCAGCAGGAGGCCTACGGGGAGCAGACGGACGTAGGGCAGGTGGACGGATCCAGGGGAGGGGGAGGTCCTCACTGGCGATTGAGCAGGCGAGATTCTTGGTAACTCTAAAGAAAGCAGTTTCCGCCAAGAGATGGCACCCTCCACCCCTCTTATCGGCTTGTGTGCCAGTGGACCCCTGCCCGCCATCCCTCAGAAACAGCCCCTTCTGGAGGCCTCAGGAGAAGATGCTCTTAGGATGACATAGTGTCTCCAGGGAGAATCCTATCTGGGGCTTAGAGACTTCTCCCACAGACCCCCAACTCTGGCCCCTAGGGAGCCCCTCTGTAGGCCAGCTAGCGGTTCTTCTGGGAACTTGGTTTTTAATAACTGGTCTCTTTTGTAATCTTATGCATTTAAAAAGACGGTTGTGAGAAGGGGTCCCTAGACGTCCACAGACTGCCTGCTCCAGGAGTCTGGGACACACAGAAAGGTAGAAGATGCCTGTTCTATAGGATTCTTTAATATTCCATCCCTCGAACCCTCTCGATAAAAGACGGCACCTGTTTAATGCTGTGGCTGCCCGTGAGGATGGGTACCTTATAGAGCCAACTCTCTGACTGGCATGACTCTCCCTGTTCCCTGGGCTGCTTCCCACGGACCCCCTGCTCCCGTCATAGACACCCCTGTCTCTGCAAAGCATCCCTCTTTCTAGTAAGCCTCTGTTCCCAGTAGAACTCTGGTTCCCTGTCCGGCCTCTGGTAGGATACTGCAGTCCTCCCGGAGCATGGCCTTCTCTCCTGCACAAACTTCCTCAGGCTCCCCAAGGCCTCCCTGACCCCTGGGCCTGTAAAGCCCCTATTCCCTACACACTGAGGGTCAAAGGGACCTTCAGAATTGTCTAGCCTCGCTCCTCTCCTACGGATGAGGAAACTGAGGCCAGAGAGGGTCAGCGGCTTGCCCCCATCACAAAGGTAGCAGAGGCCACCTCCAGTACTTGGGCCTCTGCCCCCAAAGCCCCCCCCGCTATACCATGCTGCCCCCCAGGTCCCCATCTTCTTTGGAGCCCCTCAAAGCCCTGATTGAACTTGCTGGCCTCCTACAGGTCGCCTGTCTGCATAGACTTGCCTCACTTCCTGTAGATCCCTCCCACCCTTCCTTCGTAGCTTAGGGAACCCCTTTTCCTTTGGGGTCTCTGTACAGAGCCCAGTCCTGGGAGGAGGTGGGTTTACTGGATGATCAGGCCTGGGAGCTACGGGAGAGGCCTAGGCAATCCTGGATGGGGGATAGGGGGAGAAGGTGTTGGCTTAGGGGCTGAGAGAACGGGATCTGGGTAGGGGGAGAAGACCTCAGTTTGGCCTGGGGGGAGCCACTGGATAGGAGGGGGAGAAGGCCCAGTTTAGGGGCTGGGGTGCTGAGAGGAGAAGGCCCAGCTGCAGGGACAGGGGGTGCAGGAGGGAGAAAGCTGAGGCTCCCCCACCCCCCAGCAGCGGGATGAGGGGTTGGGTGGAACCGGGACAGGGCCCGGGCGATGCCAGCTGTTAAAAATAGCTGCTGGGTCAGCAGTCCAAGGCGGCTCCTCCTCCTCCTCCCCTTCCCCGGGGATGCGGGGCCTCCCCACCCCTTCTCCCGCCCTCCCCTCCTCTGGGCTGTGCCCCCCTGACACACGCACACATAGGGCCCACTTGTCTGTGATTAATGTTCCGATTAGACAGACTAATTAACACCACGAGGGAGGAGAGACAGAGACGGAGAGACTTGGGAGTGTGTGGGGGGGGGTTGTGTGATGGAGACAGAGACAGGCAGGCAGAGTCAGCCTGGGTGGGATGGAGAGGAGGAGAGAGAGAGGTATGGGGAGACCCCGCCTTCAGCCCCATAGCCAGCTGCTGGGGTTCAGAAACCTGAGCCCTTGGGCTGGGGAGCCAGGAGCCTGATGGGAATGGGGTCTGGGAGCCCGGACTCCCGGGTCCCTGAGGGGGTGGGGAATCACAAACCCGGATGCCTGGGTTCCCCATGGGGCGGGGGCTCGTGGGTTTGGGGGCCCATGTGACTTCCTGTTTCAGGAAGTGGGGCTGGTGGGTGAAGAAGGCGACATCCGGCCCCCAGCCCTGTTCTGATCAGGTCAGGGCCCCCTCATACCCCCAAAAGTCCCACCTCTCCTCTGCCTGTGCCTCTGTCCCCCATCCCAGCTCCTCTCAGGGACCCAGGTGTCCAGGCTTCTCATCCCCACGCCCTTGGGGGCCCAGGCATCCTGGCTCACCCCGCCCCCAGCTTGGCCAAGGCCCCGAGCTTCTGAAGGGCTCTTTGTGGGCTGGGACAGAGGCTCCATTGAGTGATGGGTGGATGAGGGGAGGCTCTGTTTACTCACCTCCCCACCTGGGCCAGGAATGTGTGAGTAACCCAGGCGTCCGGGCCTCCTAGCTCGGGCCCAGGGTCTCACTGTGGCCGGGACTCTCCCCACAGCCTCAGCACGGCATGGAGATAGAAGATGCAGCGCGAGGGGTGAGTGTGCTGATGGGGGCAGGGGAGGGGGCTGGGACCCTCCAGCAGGGGCAGCCCAGGTCACCCATCCTCCTTCCCTGCTCCCTTCTTCCAGGCCCCCGGCCCGACCCGGCCAGCTCCAGTCAGCATCATTGGCGCTGAAGATGAGGACTTTGAGAATGAGCTGGAGACGGTGAGCTGGCACACCAGGACCCCTCCCCCATCACAGCATGGCCCCTTGTCCCCTCCTTTCCTCCCTGCCATGTGTATCCCAGTGTCCCATAACTGAATGTCAGGGCTGGAGGGCCCTTAGAACAGGGGATGTGAGAGCTGGGAGGGGCCTCAGAACAGGGAAGGTCAGAGCTGGGAGGGG